TACCATCACCGTGTGAGAAGTCACTTGAGTAGTGAGACTGTGGCAGTCAAACTGCGGAGGTGGTGTGTCTGTTTTAACAATTATCTGTAGAACGAAATGGAGTATATACAGATATATCCATATATATGCAGTCTAATTTGATACCTAAATACTAAAATATAAGTGAGTAGATATCACCTGGGGTTAGTATAACCATGGGGTGGTTTCTTGGTCGCGGTAGAGTCCGTCTGTTTTTTCCTCACAATTTTATATGAGTGTTGACCTTTCCTGTTCTGCTTCCAGACCGTAGTCAGAAAGCACAGGGAGAGTTTCCTCCAGGGACGGAGTTGACAGTTGGCGAACAACTCTCAAGGACAACTGTGACATAAACTTTATATTCACTGCAAATTCTCTATTAACTTCTGCTAACCAGTCTCTTGCTGTGCTGCCATTTACCGCTGCACTCGTTCAATACTCTCCGCTCGCTCTGTCACACACGTTACGCTTGCACATGCACACTGCTCTATCCCTTAAAGGAGCCACACTATTTTTATAACATGAGAGTAGTCCCAGTGGACTAGTTCTCCATACAATACAAACTCAGACACTTTCACACATGAATTCATGAATTCTTTTAATAGGCCTTTTCAATACCAGGGGAGTCCGCCCTCCCTACGGAATTTAACTATTTTAAATGGAGGACTCCACCATCCCTGCGTTATTTAACTGTTTTTTTTCTACCAGGCCTCTTTCAATGCCAGAGGACTCCGCCCTCCTACGGATTTGAACTTCTTTTAGACAGAGGTTTCCGTTACCCATGCGGAATTTAACTGGACTTTTTTCTCTCATACCTTCCTTCAAAAAAAAAAATCTTACTTACCGACTGGCATGTCTATTCCTCTTATCCTGGATGCCGTCAATCGTCGGGTCCCAGCCGAGGACCAGAGTAGGGTCCCGTCAAAGGGTCTATTAACTCACCTATGTGAATCAGCCTTGGCCAAGGTCTTTCACCTCGTCCGTATCACTCTGCTGGAACCGTCCGATGTGTTGGCATCCGGATCGAAGGACCAATTAAATGTCAGGGTTATGCCCCTAAACACTTTTAAACTCACTGCTGTAAGAGGACAAATAGACAAAGACACAGCAAGTACAGTGTTTACTTGACGGGGAATTTGTAAAGAGTTATTTAAATACACGTTATCCTCTCACATAACCCCCCTCGCAAGCAGTCTGCGTAGGGCCTCCTCAGCATCTCGTGGGGCAGGTTGCACCAGTAGCAGGCGATCCAGCAGCCCCGTGGAACTCGCTGTGGCTGAGCAGTGAAGGCAGGCTTGGCCAGTTGTGGAGATGGTGTAACGGCAGGTGGAGGAGAGCGGAATACGCTGGCTGCTGTCGTGGGGGCGGAGTGTCTCTGCCTTCGGTCCTGGGAGTCCTGCCAGTGACCGTCTCTTACATGGGTCGGGCTCAGGTTGGGCCATGTGCTTCCTGAACCTCTCTGTCTCCTGACATCCTTTGTAGATGCTGAAGGAGTGATTGAAAGTGTGGGCCAAACGGCCTGTCTGGGCAGATGGGCCCCTCCAGCAACCCCTTCCTCACTCCCTATTCCTCCCTACCACAGGTTGGGGATGGCACCTGCAGCATTGCCGACATCATCAGCGTGGTCCCTTAAGTTAGGGTCGCCGGCCATCTTGTTCAGGCTGTAGGCCAGTAGCGCAACGTTGTTGGCTGCGGCTGAGGCACATGGATGGGATCTATTGGTGAACCTGGCTGTGAACTAGTCTTTGGTTGTTGGGGGGCAGGCATGTCGTCCAACATGCCGTGCAGCCTTAACGCCAAATACTGAGGACAGACTTGGTTCCAAGGCTGGGACAGGTGGGAACCCGTTGTCCAAAAACCCATCCACCTTGGTGAATGATGTAGAGGTGCTCACCGCCACCTTAAATTTCCCAGGCTAGGCCACCGCCCCAGACTGGTAAGTAGTGATGGCTGGGAAACGGGGCCACACCGGATCCCGACGGTCAAAATGATCGTCAGAGAATCTGCCCGCCATGTTGTCAGGAGGACATGGGGCCTGGGCCAGGGGAACCACTAACTTTTTCAAGGCAGCCACTTTGCAGATGATGTCAGGCGGTTTCTGGACGAGCACGCTGATGGCTGGGAGGGGGTCGCCGGCAACATCGGGACCCCGGTAGCGGTGTGGTGTTCCTGTGGAAGATCCTCCAGTTCAAACAGTTCCAAGCTTGCTGGCAGGAAAGCGGGAAATGGGCTGGGGCTCCTGGAACTTTCCATCTGGCAAGAGTTGCCCGACTCCCACCGAGCGAAGACCTCTTCCGTCACCGCAAAGAAATCCACGCGCCTTTGCTCCTCCCGGAGCATGTGCAGCTTGAAAAAGGTACAGTTTGCCTGGGGTGTGAGGGCCTTTTATTTATTTATTACTTTATTTTAAAAAGGTTAATTTGTTATTTACAGTGAGCTCTCGGCGCGCACAACGCGATATCAGGAGATTGCTATCCAGAGTGGAGGGACTCGAGCAACATATTTCAGGTATATCTTGCTGTTTTTATCATGTAATTCCCATCTATAGTTTTTTATTCATTTATTTATTTTTATTCACAGCGACCTCCAGGCAAACGAGATACATCGACAGGCTGCAGTCCAGAGTTCAAGAAATTGAGGCAGCCGTTTCAGGTAAATCTAGCTGTTTTCTCAAGTAATTCACATCTACAGATTTAATTGCTATTATTATTTTAAATCTATACATATATTATTTATTTATTTGTTTATTTATTTTCTGTGTTGCTGTAGAGGCTACCAGGAGATCAAGATCCGACGTTGTTCTGCTGACCTGGCAGACCCTGCTGTGCACTCTATCGAACGAAATAGCGGACTTAAACAAGTAAACATTGTATTATGGATAACCATGAAGGGAATGATGTATTAAATTAAATGATTAAAGCAGTGAGTGATCTTGAGAATATCCCGCAAAATGTTCATATATCCAACTACTTCAGACCGCTACAAAATGCTTTGCAGAACGTGCACGTGCAATTAGCCCATTCTGAGTCTGAAAGAGAGGGGTTAGATGAAGATTCCACGAGCTTTGGGCTATTTTCATTAGAACAAGCACTCCAAACCTTAAACGGTACGCCTGCTTCACCCAGTGGTGACCATGTTTCAGACCAGCCGCAACAACGTGGTGGTCATATGATCCAGGGACATGCAGAGAGAGTTGGAGTCCCTCACATCAGCCAAGCCCCCACCTCCTCCTCTCCCTTCTGCAAGTAGCGGCCCTCAGCCTCCCATCCCCGGCAGCCCTGGGGATGGAGCCGTTGGTCAGGAGCCACCCAGGCAGCGTGAAAACTTTAATGTGATGGAGATAAGGCATCCTTTTAATGTTACTGCGCCCTCCCGTGGTAATCTAGCTGTATTTCACGCAAGTGTGATGCATGTGCTTGTGGAGTTGGCTGACTCTGCAAGAGGAATAGCTGCACGTTGTACAGCTGGAATTAGCCGGAGGAGGATTCTCACGTCACGTGATCGTTCCTGTCAATGGCGAGGATGATGACAGTATTTTGCCTGCGTTTATGGATTTTTTTGGATGAGCTTGTACAGTCCAACGCCGAGCTTCCTGCAAATAACAACCTGGAGCTTATTTTCCAGGTTGTCAGGAATCCTTCTGGAGGCGTGAAACGTAAGTTGGAGAAAACGTTGGACTGTGAATTAATTAATGAAAAGAAACGTCACTCGTATCTTGTGAACAATGCAGAAAACCAGTTATGCTTTTCCATCAGCCTGGCGCATGTTTAACCGACAGGGAAGCCTCAGTCCAGGGAAAGCAGTGGCAACTTATGGAAGGTTTGACTGAGCAAACGCCCGTTAACTTCAGCGATGTCAATAAATTAGAGAGGATAGTAAAGATGAAGATTGTTGTGTTTTATAGAAAGGGCGAGAAACATTTACTGTGTAAATTTGAGACAGACTTCCCTGACCGTTCAAACCCCCTTTTCTTATTCCTGCTGGGAAACCATTACTATGAAATAAGGAATCTCACCGGTTTTACCGGAGCAAAATACACCTGTAGTTATTGTTATATCGGTTTCGATCACCCCGAAAGGCATTTATTTAAAGGTTACTGTCCCATTTGTCATGACCCGAGCTGTCATCTTAGGCCTTTAAGATCTGTGCAGTGCGTGGCGTGCAATCGGATCTGTCATGATTCAATATGTTTTGATAAACACAGAGCCTCGCCTCACACCCCGGCTGGAAAAGTTTAGGAGTAATTGCGAAACCAGTAAATTCTGCCTGGTCTGTAAAAGACTTTATCACGTGCCCGCCTCTTAAGAACGTTTCATTCACGAATGCTCGGTAAATTGCTCATGTTTGTGGTGAGAAATTACCTCGCAAAGCTGATGTAATGCTAAACGAGCATCAGTGTTACATTCAGCCCATCCCCACTGAGGGGCGATTTTGAATCTTTCAGCAATCAGAGTGGCGTGCTCGTTCCCTTTCTAGTCTGTACCAAAACGTTAAAAGGAGTGGTTTGGTACGCTTATGGGCTGGATTGTGTCAAACAGTTTCTGCTTCATTTCAGGAGCCACGGATACAGGGGTTACACATTTATTGCTCATAATGCGCGTGGATAGGACAGCTATCTGATCCTGAGTGCCATGGTAAAGATGGGTATTACACCGTCTCTCATTACACAGGGCAATAAAATCCTCTGTTTCACAGAGCCCGATTTCAGTCTGAAATTCATAGACAGTCTGTCATTACTAACCATGAAAGTCAGCGCCATGCAAAAAGCCTTAGGCTTCGATGACCATAGTAAAAGTTTTTTCCCCTCATTTGTTGTCCTCTGAGAGGAATTTGAATTATTTAGGACCATTTCCCCCACCCACTTGTTACACGGAGGCGCTCATGGATCCTGCTGAGCGCCAGCGGTTTGACACGTGGTACTGCGAGGCGAGCAAGGGATCATTCGACTTCCAGAAAGAAGCTCTTCATTATTGTAAGAATGATGTTGAGATTCTTTACAAGGCCTGTATGAAGTTCAGGGAGGAGTTTTTTTTAAGGAGACACACGTGAATCCTTTTAAATGCATAACAATCGCCTCTGCCTGCATGAAGGTTTTCACCTCCAATTTTCTTCCCGCTAAGAGTTTAGCCATTCCTTCTCCAGTGGATTACAGGCGTCAGTGCAAAACATTTTCCAGCACCTCCATTCAATGGTTGGAGTCGAAAGCGCAGAATGGGGGTATTGACATCCAGCATGCAATAAACGGGGGGGGATCAGAAAATAGGTCCCTATTTTGTGGATGGGTATGGAGTGGTGAATGGTGTCAAAACTGCTTTTGAGGTTTATGGCTGTCTTTACCACGGGTGCCCCCGCTGCTTCATGCCTAATCACTTTGAAGCGCTGCACACAGCACACTTGAAAGAGAGAGGGCGCTGCAGTTTGTGTACAGTATTGATCTGCATGTTATGTGGGAGCACGAGTGGGCGGAGATGAAAACGTTACACTCGGGTGTGATTAACTTCCTCCAGAGCTTCAACCCCCCTCAGCCCGCAAGAAGCTTTGTATGGGGGGCGGACTTGCCCACTGCGCATGCGTTGCACAGCGGGGGATTGCGAAACCGTTCACTACGTGAACTTCACGAGTCTTTACCCGTACGTGAACTGTAGCTTCCCCTACCCCCTCGGTCAACCCAAAATAATCTACAAAGATTTTGATGACCCCCGCAATTATTACGGTTTCATCAGAGCCATCGTATATCCCCCACGGGCTCTGTATCTCCCCGTTCTGCCTCACAAGACATCTGCAGGCAAACTGGCTTTCACTCTGTGCCGCGCATGCACTGAAATCAACAACCAGGAAGGTTCCTGTTCACACTCCGACCAAGAGAGGGCGCTGACTGGTGTGTGGGTTAGTGTTGAGTTTGTGAAAGCTTTGAGTCTGGGTTATCGTGTTGCAGAAATCCCTGAAGTCTGGCATTTTGAGAAACAAAGCAGCACGATCTTCAAAGGTTAAATACACACCGTCCTGAAGGGTAAGCAGGAGGCTTCAGGCTACCCGGCTGATGCGACGGATGAGGAGAGCAGGCTAAACTATATAGAAGACTACAGGGTTAATCAGGGCATCCGGCTGAATCCGGACAAGATCGAGGTGAACCCCGCTAAAAGACAAGTGGGCTAAACTGTGTTTGAACAGCTTTTGGCGCAGAGAAATGACCTGGCTCAAACCACCATCGTGAGCAAACCCAATTAATTTTTCAACTTTCTGTTCTCCGGTAAATACACAATCACCTACTTTCATTTCCTGACTGATGAAATGTGTATGATTCAGTGGAAATACAACAAGGTGAATAATGTGTTTATCGCCGCATTCACCACCGCCTGCGCCCGTTTAAAATTGTACAGCTGTCTCGAGCGAGTGCAAGATAAGGTCCTGTACATAGATACCTACAGTCTTATCTACGTGGTTAAAGATGGGGGTGCCCCCCTTGAACTGGGGAATTATCTGGGGGACTTGACGGACGAGCTGGGAGGGGACACGATTAAAGAGTTTGTTGCAGCAGGACCCAAAAGTTACGCCTACCAGACCAGAGACCGGAAGAAGGTAGTGATGCGCGTTAAAGGCATCACTCAAACTCACAAGTGTAGCCAAAGGGTGAACTTTGACAGCGTTAAAAGGGTTTGAGTAAATTCTGTACCCACAGTAAAATTAAGTTTCAGAGTAAAAAGTCAACTCTACTCTGATTCATGTATTGACTGAGGTTTGATATATTCCTGTATTGTTTTCATCTAAAATGTACGCCCTTTTTCCTTTCCAATAAAGTTATGTCTTCTGTTACTTCTGTTAAACTCCCAGGTGGTTTCAACATTTTGTATTGGAAATTATCTGTCATCCCTCTGTAATCCATTCCTTTCCCAGCATGGCTTTAAGATGTCACCTGTTTTATGGTTGTGACTATTACCTTGTAAATTTAACCAGTAATTTATTGCTAATTATTTTCCCCTCAAATCTCACAGCATTTTTCCCATTTCCACCTACAGTGCTGTTATTTGGGTTGTTCTTAAGGTTCCTGTGCAAAG